CTGGCGGCGGCGGCGGCGTTGCTGCTCCTGCTGGCCGGCTGGCTGGCGCCGGGGGCGGGCGGGCAGCTGCGCTACGCGGTGCCGGAGGAGCTGGAGCACGGCGCCTTCGTGGCCAACCTGGCCGAGGACCTGGGCCTGGACGTGGGCCGCCTGTCGGCGCGGCGCTTCCGCACGGTCTCCCGGGCGGGCGGGCGGCAGCACCTGGAGGTCAACCTGGAGAACGGGATCCTCTTCGTCAACGAGAAGGTCGACCGCGAGGCGGTGGGGGAGGGGGCCGCCGGGGGAGGGGGCGCCGCCGCCGCCTGCCTGCTCCACCTGCAGCTGGTGATGGAGAGCCCGCTGGAGCTGCACCGCGTGGAGGTGGAGGTGCTGGACATCAACGACAACGCGCCGCGCTTCCCCTGGCCGGAGTACGTGCTGGAGGTGACCGAGTCGGCGCTGCCGGGCGCCCGCTTCCCGCTGGAGAGCGCGCAGGACCCGGACGTGGGCGCCAACTCCCTGCGCACCTACCGTCTCAGCCCCAACGGCTTCTTCTCGCTGGAGGTGCAGACGCGCAGCGACGGCAGCAAGTTCGCCGAGCTGGTCCTGGAGCGCGGCCTCGACCGCGAGCAGCAGCGCGGCCACCGCCTCCTCCTCACCGCCCTGGACGGCGGCGTCCCCGAGCGCTCCGGCACGGCCCGCGTGGTGGTCACCGTCCTCGACGCCAACGACAACGTGCCGGCCTTCGACCAGTCCTCCTACAGCGTCAGCCTGCCCGAGGACGCGCCCCCGGGCACCCCGGTCGTCCGCCTCAACGCCACCGACCCGGACGAGGGCGCCAACGGCGAGGTGGAGTACTCCTTCAGCGGGCACGCGCCGCCGCGGGTGCGGGAGCTCTTCGCCGTCGAGGCGCGCAGCGGGCAGGTGCGCCTCAAGGGCCAGCTGGACTACGAGCGGGCCAGCCTCCACGAGCTCTACGTCCAGGCCAAGGACCGCGGGCCCTCCGCCGTGGCCGTCCACTGCCGCGTCCTGGTGCACCTCCTCGACGTCAACGACAACGCGCCCGAGGTGGCCCTCACCTCGGTCTCCACGCCTGTCCTGGAGGACGCGCCGCCGGGCACCGTCATCGCCGTCATCAGCGTCCTGGACCGGGACTCGGGCGACAACGGGCAGGTGAGCTGCGAGATCCCCGACGACGTGCCCTTCCAGCTGCGCGCCTCCTTCCCCAACTACTACACCCTGGTGACCACGCAGGCCCTGGACCGGGAGGCGGTGGCCGAGTACAACCTCAGCATCACGGCGCGGGACCGGGGCTCCCCGCCGCTGGCCACCCGCCAGACGCTCAGCGTCCAGGTCTCCGACGTCAACGACAACGCGCCCCGCTTCCTGCAGCCCTCCTACAGCGTCTACGTGCTGGAGAACAACGCGCCGGGGGCCTCCATCTGCTCGGTCAGCGCGCGGGACCCGGACGCCCGGCAGAACGCCTACCTCTCCTACTCCATCGCCGAGGGGCAGATCCAGGGCATGCCGGTGGCCACCTACGTCTCCATCAACTCCGACAGCGGGCACATGTACGCCCTGCGCTCCCTCGACTACGAGCAGATCCGCAGCTTCCAGGTGCAGGTGCTGGCCCAGGACGCTGGCTTCCCCCCGCTGGGCAGCAACGTCACCGTCCACGTCTTCGTCCTCGACCAGAACGACAACGCGCCCGTCATCGTGGCGCCCGTGCCCCGCAACGGCTCGCTGGCCGTCGAGGTGGTGCCGCGCTCGGCCGAGCCGGGCTACCTGGTGGGCAAGGTGTCGGCGGTGGACGCGGACGCCGGGCAGAACGCGCGCCTCTCCTACCAGCTCCTGCGCGCCACCGAGGCCGGCCTCTTCAGCGTGGCCCTCTACACCGGCGAGATCCGCACCGTCCGCGCCTTCCAGGACAAGGACGCCCCCCGGCAGCGGCTGCTCGTCCAGGTGCGCGACAACGGGCAGCCGCCGCTCTCGGCCTCCGTCTCGCTGCTGCTCTCGCTGGTGGACAGCGTCCCCGAGGTGCTCTCCGACTTCAGCGAGTTCCCGCTGGGGCCCGAGCCCCCCGGGGCCTCGCCCCTCACCCTCTACCTGATCGTCTCGCTCGGCTCCGTCTCCTTCACCTTCCTGGTGGCCATCCTCGTCCTCACCGCCGTCAAGTGCCGCAAGGACCGCCTCACCCTGCGCGACTATTCCTGCGCCCTCCCGGCCGCCGCCGCCGACTGCTGCCGCCGCCGCTCGCCCGCCCCGTCGGACCTCTTCAAGAACGCCAACAACGCCAACCCGCCGGGCGCCGCCGCTGGCAACAAGGCGCCCGCGGGCGGCGGGGAGGGCGGCGCTCTGGCGGGGCCCCCGGGCTACTGCTACAAGGTCTGCCTCACCCCGGAGTCGGCCAAGAGCGACTTCATGTTCCTGAAGCCCTACGGGCCGGACCCGCCCCGGAACAACGAGAAGGGCCCCGAGAACGGGCCCCCGAGCGCCCGGGGGGCCAAGAACGCGCTGCAGCCCTCCGGCCAGGTAAGCTCTGGGGGTGCTGCGGGGCGCGGGGGAGCCTGCAGAGCCCCCCTCCCCCGGCGAGAAACCCTCAAGCCCC